TGCGCGCGTGTCGGTCCCAGACGGACATTCCTGCCCCCCCTGCGCGCGTGTCGGTCCCAGACGGACATTCCCGCACCCATGACGAGGCTGGCTAATCTGAGAGTCTTGTCATGGGGTCGGGTCCACCTGGGACATTGGGCTGCGCGCTTTTAACCACTTTGGGCCCCTGTGCGCGTGTCCGTCCCAGACGGACACCCCGGATATCATCGTCGCTGTGGCGCTGTCCCCCGCTCGGTCTCAGACATCCAACATCACTGACCTCGCTACCCAGCACTTCTACATGGATCATCGCCGCACCCACCTGAACCACAAGCTCCGCGAGCAGGACGACTGGAAACCTGAGGATATGGAGGACTACCTCGCGAACAAATCCGCCAAGCTCGACGCCTTGGTGCGGATCCTTCAGTGGCACCTTGGGGAAGACAACCGGCCCCCTCTCAAACTCGACGACAGCGAAAACCTGGTGCCGGATGCAGAGTACCCCATGCCAACCCCCTCCCCCAACGCAGGCCCCGATCGCGCTGTGGTGTACGCCGCCTTCCCGATGAACCACGCCATGATCCGCCAGGTAAGCAGGACTCCAGGAGATTTACAACTGTATCTGACGTCACACAGGTCTTGTCTTTGCATGGCATCGAATCCATCGAAGTCAACGGTCGCAAAGGGGGCTCGCTTCGCGAGGAAAGGTTTGACATGTTCAAGCGCTCCAACCGTGACCAACCTCGGACCCTCGTCATGTCCAACGTGGGCATGATGGGGTTGAACCTTTCGGAGGCCAATATCCTCATCTGCCTGGTACGTGATGTGGCCGTCACCCTCATGTCTCTACTCATGTCCCTACAGGACCAGCTGTGGTCGTACCAAGAATATTTGCAGCTTGTCGGCAGGTTGTGGCGATTCCCTCAGCCGAAGCCCGTCTTTGTCTACTCCTTGTGCCTGAAGGATCCGACAGACATGACGTTGACCGTCATGTCCTTCACCAAGGCCGAGCTCCTGTCCGCCTTCACGGAGGCTTCAGAGGACACTCGTAAGTGCACATAACGCTCTCTAACTTCCTAATAACTTCCTAATAAACTAATATTTCACTATCTATTCACTGTTTGGGCGTATGTAGGGGCCCTCTTCGAACATCTCCTCCCCCCTTCGCTCCGTCCAGATGAGCCTTCGGATGACGAGGACGACATAGAGTCGGAAGAGGATGCCGAACCCCAACCTGCCAATAAGGGCAAGGGTAAGGCCAAGGACACCGGCAAGGGCAAAGGCAAGGCCGAGGCCGAGGAGCAGGCAGAGGACGAGGACGTAGTAGAGATCGAGCCGCCTGCTGACAAGGGCAAGGGCAAGGGCAAGGCAAAGGCAAAGGCGAGCAAAGCAGATGCGACCCCCAAGTCTCCAGCGAAGAAGGCCAGGGCCGCACCGAAGACCGCCGCGCAGAAAGCCGCCGAGAAGGCCCAGAAAGCCGCCGAGAAGGACGCCGAGAAGGCCCAGAAGGCCGCCGAGAAGCAGGCGGAGAAGGATCGGAAGGCTGCCGAGAAGCAGGCGGAGAAGGATCGGAAGGCTGCCGAGAAGGCTGCCCAGCCCCCGAAGGCGAAAGCACCCCCAAACCCCGCGCCAAGAAAACCAAGGCGCAAGCAAACGAGCCCGTGCAGCCAGCAGCCGGCCCTTCCGCCTCGCACCCCATGTCTCCCCGCTCCTCGACTCCCCCTGCGGACACTGCCTCCGGTCTGCCCCCTCCCGCCATCGAAGAGGCCGCGCCCCATGTACCCCCTCCCGACACCGAAGTGGCCGAGATCCGAGTGGTCCCTCCCGCCATCGAAGAGGCCGCGCCCCAGGTGCCCCCTCCCGACACCGAAGTGGCCGAGATCCAAGTGGTCCCTCCCGCCATCGAAGAGGCCGCGCCCCAGGTGCCCCCGCCCGACACCGAAGAGGCCGAGACCCAAGTGGTCCCTCCTATCGACGATCCAGCCGATGAGGACGAGACACAGCAGGACGGGTCCCAGAAGGACGATTCAGAGGAGGACGCCCCCCAGGAGCCGGCGCAGTCCGGCGGCCGCAAACGCAAGGCCCCCCGTCGCAAGAACCGTACCCTCTCGTCGATCGCTGAGGAGGACTCCCAGGATGAAGACGACCCAGAAGATGGCCCTGCTGGCGAGCTCGATTCCGACGCGCCTCCACCCAAGAAGCGAAAGGTGGACCCGTCCGCCGGTCAGAAGAGGTTACGCCCAGCGAGCATGAGTCCTACGAGGCCCACCACGCGCAGTGGCGATCGGCGTGCCCAAGGCTCCTCTCGCGGACGGGCATCCTCTCTTCGTGCAACTGACCTCGGGGCCAAGAGGACCTCCGACAATCCTACGAGGCGCACGGGTGGCCCAAGCACCAGCCACCGCTCCAAGTCCGTCATCAGCGACTCGGACAGAGAAGCAGCCAGGCAGCAGGAAGGGAGGTTGTCCTCACCTCTTTCCGACCCTCCTCCCACCCAGAGCCCTGGCCTTCGCGCTCGTATCCTTGACGGTGTCGGTTCGCGCGCCAGCGAGGTCGGTCGGAGATAGGTTAGGTTAGGTTGGACTATGGCCGTCGTGTTCCAGGTTTGATGGGGTATGTAGTACGTTGACTCGGCATGTCTCGTTCGCGCATTTTCTATCGTATCAAGTTGTGAATGTAGTGTATCCATGTTCCCTTGCGAAAGTGAGACAAAGCCAATGTGACTGCAAGTGAACAGCAACACACCAATTGTGAGAGTCATAAGGCCTCGTCAAGCGCAAATGAACACAGCAACTGTAAGAGACAGTTGAAATGACTGGGCTGCCACTGCTCTCGGGGGCTGTTAAGATACAAAGGCTGTCAATATGAACTTGTCCGTCCAGGACGGACACGCAGGCAAGGGCTGTGCTGCAACCATGATGGCTCAGAGGGTTGCCCCCTGCGCGGGTGTCCGTCCAGGACGGACACGCAGGCAAGGGCTGTGCTGCAACCATGATGGCTCAGAGGGTTGCCCCCTGCGCGGGTGTCCGTCCAGGACGGACACGCAGGCAAGGGCTGTGCTGCAACCATGATGGCTCAGAGGGGTGCCCCCTGCGCGGGTGTCCGTCCAGGACGGACACCCGGGCGAGGGCCGTGCTGCAACCATGTTGATGGCTCAGAGGGGTGCCCCCTACGCGGGTGTCCGTCCAGGACGGACACTCTCACTCCACCGGACTGTTGGCGACTCGGATCTTGCAAACACACGTGGCAGAGTCCGGTCGCGGAGGGTAGTCTGCGCGTCCGTCCGGGACGGACACTCTCACTCCACCATGCTCTTACTGGTGCCTAAAGCGTCCAACGCACGCAGACGGCCCACCGCGTGCGTCCGTCCCAGACGGATACACCGGCGCAGCTCAGACAAACACGTCACATCATTATACCCGTCTTCCATCGCACATTCTACGGCACCGTACCCCACCATATAGCACAACCTCATCCTTACCAATCAACTCAGACATCCACATCCATCACATCATGAGGGCCAGATATTCCACGCGTTCCGTGAGTCGTCCGACTTGGTCCCGCTACGTTGCCACTCGACTCCCCTGGCCCTGGCACTTTCCTATCCCCAGAAAACTGGCACCAAGCCCCTTGGTGCCAGGTTTTCGGCGGAACAAGGTCCGTAGCACCACAACCAGGCCGTTTCACCTGGAACAAGCTGGTGTCCCAGGTGCCCCACGACCTAGCCCACGACCTCTCCTTGGTTTGGAGACAATTGCTTTAACCGTCGTTGAGCTAGACACCTTGTTCCATTTTTTTAGATTTTGAAAATCTGAGTATTTGGAAAATACCGATAGCTAGATGCTGGAACAAGGTGGAACAAGGACCCATTCCAGATAGCTCTAGGATGGGGCTACCTAGGGCACTTGAGAGCTAGTGAATAGCTGCTCTGGTTTGGGAGCTGTGGGGGGTAGAAGGTGCCACCTCAGCTGCAGTGGTCCGCTTTTTTGGTGTCTTGAGCATCCAGATATGGCTGGAAGCTGGAACAAGGTGGGTTCTAGGATGCCCCAGGAGGTCCTCTATGGGATGCAAGTTACTGCTTGGGTATAGGTGCTCTGGTTGAGGAGGTATGGACCTTGTTCCAATTTTTTCCAACGTTGAATTTCGGGTATTTGGCCTTTTGAGGTGGCTAAAGGCTGGAACAAGGTGGAACAAGGCCCTATTCCATGTAGGGAATAGAAAGGGCTACGAGACGCACCTTGTTGCATGTTTATAGGTGTACTGGTTGAGGAATTATGGATCATTCTGTACCTCCAAATAGGTGAAAGTGGCGCATTTTTGGATTGATGGCCCTGCAGTGGTGAAACAAGGCTGGAACAAGGTGGAACAAGGCCTCATTGCATGTAGGGCACGCCTAGGGCTACGAGATGCACTTTACAGCATGTTTACAGGTGCACTGGTTGAGAAGTTATTGAGGCTAGAGTGTGCCAGCTTAGGTATGGTTACCCGCATTTTTGGCGATTAGGCATCTATGGTTGATGTTGGATGCTGGAACAAGGTAGGTTTCTAGATGCCCCTATATGTGCTCTACATGATGCAAGTTACTGCTTGAGGATAGCTGCTGTAGTGAAGGAGCTACAGACCTTACATTACTTTTTCTGACACGTAAAATAAGCAAACAGTGGTATTGTTGGCCC